TGTTTCATGAAAATACATTTCCTACTCTGGAGTCCCTTTGTTCCATGAAAATATATTTCCTACTCTGCAGTAGGATGTGGTTCCATGATGCTGAGGCAATAGTGGACATGAGATGAAGTAGGAGGCCCAAGACTGGTAGTCGATTGGTTGCAACATGATCAGAAAAGGAATCACAGGGAGAAAGTCTGAGTCCTGTTTTTGAAAGAGGGAGTGCAGGAAGGAAGGGATAGGAATGGCAGGTGGTTCCCCTGAGGAATACACTTGAACTTGGTTTTTCATTCTGCTGAGAAAGTTGGGCAAAAGTGTTAAGCCTTTGGCTATCATCTACTTTGGGAAACATAGGTTGAGTAGGTTTTAGTACTGGGGTAAAGCCTAGGCTTAGCACATGTTAGGCAAGTGGTGTGGTACTGAGCTATGTACCTAGCCCTGTTTGCTTTCTTATTTTTTGTCTTGAGACAGGGGCCTCACTAAGTTGCTCTGGCTGGCTTTGAACTCACACTGTCCCAGACCATAAATGTGTGATTCTCTTGCCTTAGCCTCCTGGACAGCTTGGACAGTCAAGTAAGTTAAAAGTGTGACTGTTTAGTACACAAACCTAAGAACACTCCTCTTTTGTCCACCACTCTGCCTGTGTTATTTAATAGGAACAATGGCCCTGTGGTAGCATTTCTTTCACTGTTTACTTGTGGTCTGACTGTCAGAAGTGCAGCTTTATGAATCCAGACAGTATTATTCTGCTTTGGTTTTCAGCTTATATATGGAAAGGTTGAAATTTAGTGTGGGACCAGTGGGTCATTCCATTTCCCTGCCAGACTTTGTTGACTCCCCATGGGAAGCCTTACCCTCTCTGAGGAGTGGATGGGGGAAGGTGGGGAAAGCAGGAAAAGGGGAGGAAGTGTGAACTGGGATTGGTAGGTAAAATGAGAAACGATTGTCTTAAATATAAAACATAACCCCTTTCAAACATGCATGCTTATATAATAGGAAGATGACCTGTGTACATTTCTGGTCATTTTAAAATGTGGGATGATTTTTTTCAGTGGTTCTTATGCTATGTGTAGATGTCTGTCTGGTGTCCAGGTGGGAGCAAAACACACCACTTTTAATCTTTTGGAATTAAAATGCAGCAAAGGGAAAGGGATAGAAAGAGCAGAAGTGCTTGTGTTTGCCTGATGCTGAGGCATGGTTCTCAAGTGGTTTGCCCCAAGGCCATCACATCCCATAGGAGCTACAGTTCATAGGAGCTATGTGTAGCTCTACAGTTCTCTGACATGGAAACTTCTGTTGTGTGCAACACTTATAAATGATTCCATTTCTTTCTGACGGTGTTCCAAGATCCCAAGTTAACATCTAATATTCTCAGAAAGGCTGCAAATGTGAAAAGGGGGACCTCTAGGCTTATCCTGTTTACTGCTGTGCATGTTGAGAGTAAAGCAAGCTGCATGATTGACATGTGCAGGATGCAATTGAGATTCTGTCCTCCAACTTGATCCAGTTGAAGAAAGACTGTGAGAGTATCTGTGATGATCACTCTGGGTTGCTAACCTGACACACGTGGGAAGAGGGCTGTTCAGCTGAAGAGCTGCCTCTGTCAGATTGGCCTGTGGTCATGTTGGTAATGAGTTTTCTTGGTTAGTACTTGATGGAGGAGGGCTGGATACTGTGGGCAGTACCACCTGCAACCAGGCAGGCCTAGGTTGTATATGAAAGGCAGCTTAATGGGAGCCCGGGGGCAAGCTGGGCAGCAGCCATTCCTCCATGGTTGCTACTTTAGTATCTGCTCCGGGCTCCTGCTGTAACTTCCCCTGATGAGAGATTATAACCTATATGATTAAATAAACCCTTTCTTCCCCAACTTTTTATCACAGTGTTTATCACAGCAACAGACAGCAAACTGGAACACCAACCTTCTGCATAAACAGAAACAATGCCATGAATTCTCCTTCCTTTGCTTTTCTTCAATTTTCTATTTTAAGAAATTTCTGAAAATATATGAATTATGCAACTTATCTCTCAGATGAAAAGGAATTTTCTGCTCGGATTCGATAACTCCATATTTATTAATAGCAGTAAAAATTTCCATGTTCTTTGTATCTGATGGGATGCTATGTAAAATATGAAGGAGCCATTCCAGCAAGGATAACTGCTCTAGGAGAATAATTATAAAAGCTATACGGAATTGAATGACCCTTTCATTTGTCATTACTTCTCTGTGTTCAGTAAGGATCTGAATAATTATCCTGACTACAAAGGGAACTGAGTGATATTTTCCCTTATTATGAGATTAAATCCTTAATATACCACTTTCACTATAAGTTAAAACAAAAAACCCCAACCCCTCATCAGGATAGAATGCAATTGGGATTGATGACTGCTCACTGCAGATATGCTTGGACTCCTTACTGGTACCCACGGATATGTGATCCAGGTTCCTTTTCACTTGAAAAGTGTTCATCTCCACAGTTTATGGAAATGGAATTATACTTGTTTGCTGAGTATGAACTTTTGGCCTTTCTGTCACATTAATTCATGATGTTGACAAGGACAGTAGAGTTTCCTTAGGTCATGAACTGTTGGTGGCAGAAACCCAATGCAATATTTTTTTTAAGAAAATAGGATTTTTCTTTGCAGAAGAATTATTTTTTAAAAGTGACTATGGTTTCCAAGGTCATTTCAAGGCAACATTTCAAAGCCATTAAAAAGAAGACAAAGTGTGGGGTCTCCTTTTCCAGGTGGCTTGCATTATACTGACAGCACTCCCATCCCTACTCAGATCCTAAGAATATTATATGACAGCATTTTTCTTGAAAAATGAGGTTTTGGTTATGAGTGATAGTGTCTCACTTTGTAGATGTCTCACATTTATTCATTCGATTACTGGAAGATGCTATCCATGCTGCTGTGGGGGGGGTGGTATCCTAAGCACTATTATTTATCTGTGAACCCTGTTTACTATAATGTTACCCAGCATGACAAGATATGCCCATAGGTGCAATAGTTGCACAGATGCTTTCTAGTAGGATTTAAGGCCCACTCTGTAGAAGTAAACTCATACCTGCTGCTGCTGCTGCTGCTGTTGCTGCTGCAAATTTGCACAAGAATCCATGTCTAGGGAACTCAGAGGCTCTAGCCTACTAGTGTTATTTTTCTAACTGTCCTCTAAATACATGGATCTCTGTAGTTTTGTACAGCTCTCACAGCTTATCAGAAACATTTAATTGTGTAGTAGATGTTGGTTGATGCAGAAGCTCACAATTAGACAAAGTTCAGAGAATAAATAACTCTGGAGTGCTCAGCCACCAATGGGACATTCATATCACACCTTGTCCCCAAGGCTCAAGGACTGTCATGGAAAATAGGGCAGGAAGATTGTAAGAGCTGAAAGTCAGGAAAGACCTGAGAAAAATGGCTGTTGTCAACTGCACATAACTTCTTCGATATCCCATGTCTATTCCCACTTTTCAGTGCTGGAACCCCCTGGCTTGAATCTGTGCCGACCTTGCATATGCTGCCACAATCTCTCTTGGTGTCTAGAAGACACTGTTTCCTTAGAATCATCCATCACCTCTGGTTCTTATAATCTTTCTGCCTTCTCTTCCACTTGGATCCCTGAGCCTTGAGTAGGGAAGGGTTTGATTAAGTCATCCCACTTAGGACCAAATGCTCCAAAGTCTCTGACTCTGCACATTGTTCAATTGTGGGTATCTTTGTTAATTCTCACCCATTGCAAGAAGCTTCTGTGATGTGGGTTGAATAAATTACTGATCTGTGTAGATAGTAGTATGTCAGTAGGATACATTTTATTGCTATGTTTGACAGAATAATAATATTGGGTTTTCCTGTAGGCCCATGATCAATTTAGTCTCCAGTTCTTGTCCATTTTAGCAGTATCAGGTCATGGGTTAAATCTTACATAGTTGGCCTTAAATCCAATAGCAGGGACAGTGCCCCAACTAGATATATTTAGCTAACAAGGTACAACTGTAGTGCCAGGTATGAATCACATCTTGTTGAGTGTTCGGCCAAAGGAGTCCCATGGAACCCCCTAAACATTACAGACTATTACTAAGGCTGATAGTTGCTCTCCACAACATGATGGTAAAGATCTATTATTGAAGACAATATTTTGTTATGAAACCAAGCATTGTGGCATCAAGCTTGTGCCTAACTAGGAACTTTACCCCTACTAACTAGTGTTCATGGTGCTGGAAGGTCCTATGCAAACTATCAAAGGAGAAGCTTAATCAATATCACCAATCTACAAATCCTTTGACCTACAGTAGCAACCTGTCTTCAAGAGATAGTAGTGAAATAGTGCCACAAATGTTATGGGAGGAAGCAACCACATTTTGACATTTGTTGTTTTTACATTAAGATTATTTAAAAAGGAGCTAGTACCTGGACTGAGTGTAGAGTGCAGAATTTTCACAATATGGAGATGGTATTGATAATCCATCCATTATATAATACAGATTATTTAATCTCCTAAAAGAATCATCATAGAGGGCCTGGGGAAATGGCAAAGAGGGTAAAGTGTTTGGTGTACAAGCAAAAGGACCTGTGCTGTAGTCCCTAGCACCTACATAAATGTCAGGCATGGCTGTGTATGCCTACAATCACAATACTGCGAGGGTAGAAACAGGCAAACCCTAGGACCTGCCAGCCAGTCAATCTATTCAAAATGATGAGGTCCTGGTTGAGGAAGATACCCTGCTTCAAAAATATAATGTAGAGAGAAGTTAGGGTAGAGCTTGAAGTTGATCCTGACTGCCACACAGACACTCACAAGTTATCAATCATACCTTCACACATGTACACAACACACACACACACACACACACACACACACACACACACACACACACACACTGAAATGATTCACCATCTAAACTCATCCTAACTTGACTTTGATGGGGTTGAAGGGAGTGAGGGAGAAAGAGTAGAATGCCTCTATGTATAATTATGGAAGGAGTATTACTGTCTTCCTTTCTGTCTTGCAGCCTGAAGAATAAATAATGAAACATCAATCAAGAGCTAAGAAGAGATGCCAGCATTTCTCTGTGGCAGAGAACTGCTCACCGACCAAAAGAGGATCCTTTCTTGAGCAATGAACACTTCTTACAAGGATTCACAGATTAACACATGACCAATCTTGATTTCTGGAAATAGATAAGATTTCTTTTTCCTTGTTTAATTTAGTGGCAAATTATACTTGGATGGGTTTTAAAGAATCCTTTCCTGGTAACATGTTTAGCACAAGTTCTAAACTGCAATCACACAGCAACTAGTCAGAGCATTATTCAGACTTACACAGAGTGGAAAATTTAATTTCCTATTTATTCTAGATTTCCTTAGAGTTACCATGATTCTGTGAGACCCTTCATGGCTATCATGTAAGTCTCCCAGATCCATTAACGATTACACGTTTGTCATCACGGGGAACATAGTTGGTGACAACATCCGCAGTAATAGAACAGACTGTGGTTTGTGGAAGTTATATAACAGACAGAATTCTGGTCTTTCTGCCTCACGCCGATGAGCCAGCCTTGCCTCTAATGCCAGGAGCATGCGAATAGTTGAGAAAGAGAGGAAGGACCTTCACTCTGGATCACCTTGATTGAAAGCTACCTAAGATTAAGCCAAGTTTTGTCCTTGCAAGCTGCCAGATCATAGCTTAGGAAAAGAATTAGTTTGATTGCATGATGATCCTATTAAGTCAAAGTGTTGTCACAGTGGTCGACCTTGGTGTAATGCTTTACTAAAGGCATCCAAAGGAGGATTTTTAAACCCCAGAGTGAGAGAGAAATGGTCCTTAGGAAGTTGGCCTGAATGGTGGGCTTTAATTTGGGACACTGATGATTTGGAGGAGAAAGTGACTAAATCCTGAAGAAGCTTCTTTCTTCTATTTCTCTTCCATCCTGTTGCTGAGCTGGGATTTGGTGACTTTGAAAAGGATGACTATGGGTAGAGGATCGACCAGAGAACTGATGCTCTTTGAAGGGATCGACTCTGAGTGCAACTGTTAAATTCCTTCTCCAGGGTCAATTGCTCTGCATTGTGATGGGAAGTAGTGTCTTGTACACACTACAAGGTAGAAGCAGAACTGCCATTCCTGGGCTCTCAGCTGGCTGGAGCAGCCCTTTCCACCCTGTGACCACCAATCTAATGAAGTCAGACTTTTTCAGACATCATTGCTTTCCACGGAGATCTGAAGTGGTTACAGCCAGTGAGCAATAAATGAAACGACACGGAAATGCACAGTGTTGTTCTTAAGGTGCCTGTTTTGTTGTGTGAGGAGGTCACAGTCTGTGAAGCGTCCAGACTGTGGCTGTGAAGAGGAAGGTCACACACCATGTACAGTCCTGCTGCAGGTGGGGAGGAAGAAGGGTGTGGTGACAATTTTATTTTGCTATTTTGGAAAAAGCACACAACAGAGCTACAATCCTCCAGTGATGGCTTGTCTTCGAATGTGTGGAATAAAGCTTTATTTGTCAATTCTGCTGTAAAATAAGCATAGTCTGAGTATTTTTATTTTTAAATCTTTTTTTCTGCTTATGTTTAGTGCCTGAGCTCTTTCCCTGAAGTGTGTTTATTTATTTATTTTTTGATGACCTAAGATAGAAAAGTCTAGGAACATAGATTCCCTTTGTGTTACAGTGAAGCTTTGCCAAGCCCTTTATAGATAAACCTCCAGCTACAATAATCTGATTATTTCAGAGTGCCTCATTGAAATACCATTGCCCTTTGTCAAGCTGACACAAACACCCCACCAGAAATTTTGTTGGTTTGACTGTTCTCATATTTGTTCATGTCCATGCAGATAAGGGGAATTTCATTCCAGCACACCATAAAGACCACTTGACCAGACTGCTTAATGCAGGAAGGCTCAGAAATACTGCTGTGTCCTGGAGACTGTAGAATAGAAACACCTCTACTCGGGAAAATGTGCTGTTCACTGTTCCTTTGGTGTGGCTCTATGTTAAATTAAGTCTTACATTACTTTCCAATTTTGTTATGGGTAGATGGGAGTTGAGTTTAGGGCAAATGTTTTCAAATGGCCAGTTAACTCTGCTGGAAAGAAAAGAGATGCATGCTGCCATCACTTGGAACACTCTGGAACAGCCACAAGGAAAGCACATACCTACCAACCCTTTATTGAAAATGTCTATATTCAATAGAAAGTCATTGATGGTCAATATGGTCAAATGTCTCTTTCTCTTGCTTCTCTTTTCATCCCATGACATAATCTTATTCAGTAGGCATTGTCCATGTAATTTACCATGTGAACTCCATGTGTAGCCCTGATTCCTCAGAGGTCCAAATGACTCCTTAGTCCTGGCAATACAATTCAAATTTGCTTTACAAAATGTTCTTCCCTTTTAGTGCAGAAGTAAACTTGAGGCTAGCACATGTGCCAGTGGCCACAAATGCCATAGCAGTGAGTCCCAAATTAATGAGCTCTCCTTATATACAGTCTCCACAGCCCAGTGAACTCATAAATATGCTCATAAAGCAATCCACTAAGCAGCAAATGCTGCAGCGATTCCTTCTGCTGATGAAGTAGCCGTAAAACTCACCCACTCCTGCTGGACTGGAAGACCAGCAGGATTTGAACTTTCTTGGCCTCTTAGATGACATAGGAACATTTGGAGCTGCAAAGATCTTCATACTGTCTGTTGGAGCGACTTTATTAGGCCAACCATATCAAAAGGCAAGAACATGTGCAATACTGACACTTCTGTAGAACTCCCCACCTTCCTGTCAAAGCTAAGTGAGACATGTTTTGACAAGGGGTTGGGAATCCAGAACACTAAACCCCAATAAGAGACTGACCAGGTTGTAGCTACACTCTCCACTAAATATCTATGGTTCACTTGATCAGCTTTGTCCAATGAATTATTTTTCTTTTGTAAGAATAAAACTAAGAAGGGTCTGTCTGTTCAACAAATTATTGTAGGGATGAGTCCCCCTCCCCTTTTCTGGTTTTGAATTTGTTCATATTCAAGGCATGTTAAACTACCTCATAGGTTTGTTGTGTGGATTAGCTGATTAATAAATAACAACTGCTTAAAATAATGAATCTGTATGTAAATGCCGCCTTAATGTTTTTCCTCACAAAAGATTTATGAGTCAAATCAGCTGGGTGATATTTCAACTTGATGTGTAAAGGCCAGATGTGGGGGCCACACCTGCCATCTCAGCATTCAGGATGCTGACATCCTGATTGTGCCAGGATAGACTAAGGGCACAATCCAAAACTGTTGGATATGCCACCAGACAACATTGCACAGCCAACAAACAAAATCAAAAGCATGTTACTTATTTTAAATTTTACTTTTATTTGCTCCTTTATGTATCTATTTTGGTTTCTTGAGACACGGTCTCTCTGTGTAGCTCAGGCTTGCCTGGAACTGTTAGTCCCCTGCCTCTGCCTCTTTTAAATTCTTAAAAAGGAGACAACACTGGCCTTCAGAGTATCTGAGATGATATTATGGTAGTCTAAATGTCTGCATTTAAAGTAATTTATAGTAAAATTAAAGTGGTTTTGAGATTACAACTTGATACCATTGGTGTAGGTTCCTTCACATCTGAAAGAAAAGTAAAGCAGTCACAGCTTCCTGTGTGTGCTTCTTAGATCCATGAGGTTGGTAGCATTGGTGAACATCTGCCTAGATTGTGCTGTCCTGAAAACCTTTTAAATGGTGTGTGAGAGTGTGTGTGTGTGTGTGTGTGTGTGTGTGTAAGCAGTGTATGGGGGAGGGGATGCAAGATCTTGTGCCTGTAGACCAGAGGACAATGTTAGGTGCTGTTTCACCACCCACCTTGTTTTTGAGACAGTGTCTCCTGGATCAGATTGGCCAGTGAGCCCCTATGGGTCCTCATGTTAGCACTGGGACTTCAAGGACGTGCCACCATGCCCAGACTTTACCTGAGTTCTAGGTAAAGTTCACGGGTCTCCATTGCTTGTACAGGAAGTACTTCAGCAAGCATTTTACAAACTGAGACATCTTCATAGCCCTTAGTTTAAAAACAACAGCAACAAACCCAGCAGCCTAAAGAGAAAGGAGTGGAGTTAAGACTATCCAGTTTCCCACTGACATCATCTGGAAACTCCATAGCAACTAGTTAAAAAGTAGTTTTACTGCTGCCCCCACTTGGCAGCCATTTTCCTCTACATGATTAATTATTCCTTAATCGCTATTACGAGTAGAGGTTTTACATGCTAATTTCAAATGCTTCAACTTAATTAGTAATTCACTCTGACCTTTAAAACCCATACCCTGTAATCTTCAAATTATATGAGTAAGGGAAAAAAATTGAATTTTACTTCTACCCTTCCGACTGCCATTAGTAAGTGATGCACAACCTGCTGTCCTTCAGAGTCAGCTGGGGTTGTCCCAAGTCCAAGCTCAAGTTATCTTGTGGTCATCAGAGTCAGTAAGGGCTAAGGGTGACTCAGCTTCTGAGAAAGGGGTAATGCAAACACAGCACCTTTTTTACTATAAGGAAATGAAGACAACTGCGCACAGTAATGGATTCTCTTATAATTCTCTTTTGAGGATTCCGGCAAACTTACCATGGGGTCTGCTGCTCTTTAAATAGGAGAATATCCAGCAGGAAGACAAGGAGCCATAGAAGTCTTCCTCACAGGGGCTGAGGAAGGATCTGCTTTGAAATATTCAGGTTCTATGTGTGTACATGTATGCTCAATCATAGCAAAATTGTCTTCATAGTTGATTGAAACTGACTTCATGGTGAATCATGACTGTCACGTTAGTACTGGTGAATCTACCAATGGCATTTCAAGAGTTGTTATTCTCTCTCCTTCGGTTCACTCCTCCTTTAGAACTCTTTGAGAAGCTAATAACTGGGGGTGTAGACAAGAGCATAGGCGTACTTACCTGTTTTATCAATCATATAATCTCTCTGGCTGGGTAGAGAACAATGCAATGGAGGATTACAAGGAAGTTAGCTTCCACTCATCACCTAGAGAGAACTTGTCAGGTTCTGGGTGAGAGCACACTGTGGGAAGAAAGACACCAGGCCTTCTAGTTGCAACCTGCAGCTCTCAGTACTTGGGTGCTCTCATAAGTCTCAGTTCTGTATGCGAATGCTGCCAGTTACCTCCTCATTTCTTGTAGTGGCATTTGTTTGTGGTCACAAGCCTTGAGGAACACATTGTCAGAAGTTTGGGGTGTCTTGTCCTTTCTATTTTTTTTTTTTGCTACTCTTATCTAGAAAATGATGGTTTTCACAATGTGACAGACAGCAAGGGTTTAAAAGCAGTATGTTGCGAGTGCATGATGCCATTTGAGAGGCCTGTTTGAAAACCATAAAGTTCCCACTTGCTCCCTAGAAGTAATCTGTTAAATATTTAGTCTTCATTTATCATTTTATAAACCACTTAATGTAAGGCTGATCATAAGCCTATGTCTACCTTCTTTATAGAACATCTCTTCTCTCGTTGCTCTTGGGTTTAAAGAGTTTAACCCTGAAAGCCAGTGTCCTCTATGAATTCTCGTGGGGTCCAGTGATGACAGTGGGTCTCCTGGGACTCAGGATTCAACCAGACATTGGCGCTTGGCAGTCCTAGGAGAGAAAGAACCAAATATTGAGATATCATCTTTTTTTTTCTTTTTTATGTCCCTTGCCACACTCACTGGTTCCAGAACAGCTCTGCTTCACTTCTTCCCCTCCTGCACTCCATAGTCACTTTAGTCGCTTGTTCATACGATTTAAGGCCCCTCTCCACTGCTGTGGTGCAAGAAAGAGACCCTGTGTTCGTTAGGAAAGGTCTGCTGTTATCTCAGTTATTGCTGGTATTTTTGTAGCCAAACATCTGAAAAGGGAAGTGGGAACCACTGGAAGGAAAAGAAATTTTAAAATTTTAAGAAGCAATCTGCTCTTCTGTTGATGATGATCCAAATTAAAATAAGTAGTAAGAGGTGTTAGAGGGTGAGGGTGTGTGTGTGTGTGAAGCTGTTTATCCAACTCTGGATGATATCAAATCTCTGCTGTCAGCTTGACACACCTGGGAAGCAGGGATCTCAGTTGAAGAATGGCCTCTAGCAGATTGGCCTGTGGGCATGTCTGTGTGACATTTTCTTAATTGCTACTTGGAAGGAGGCCTAGCCCACTGTGCATGGCACCACCCCTAGGCAGGGAGGCCTGCATTGTATAAGGAGGGTAGCAGAGCAAGCAGCATTACTCTGTTGTCTCTGCTTCAATTCCTGCCTCCACATTCTCACCTTGGCTTCCCTCAATGATGGATTGTGAGCTGTTAGCCAAATAAACCCCCCCCCCCCAATTGCTTTTGGTTAGAGTGCTTAATCACAGCAACAGAAACCTAACGAGGACATACAGATATATTAATTTAACAACTGGTTATTAAACACAGGCAAAGTATTATATGGAAGTGATGGAGAGTTAGGCAAGTGGGGGTTAGTGTATCATTATGTCAATGCTTTGTTTTGATTTTGGGCACATTACATACTGTTTTTCTGAGCTTCAATTGCTCAGTACTTAGAGTGAGGCTCAGAGACAGCCTTCATTATCATTCCTTAATGT